CTCGACTTTTTATCAAGGGAAGTGCCCTGAAAGTGAGGAGATACGACAAACGGCGTCTTTTTTGCGGTAAACGCGCAGACAAACGACAGACATTTAATTTGAAATAAAAAAAAGTCGATAAAAGCGAGGCACGGTAGAACTAGAGACATTTAAAGAAGGATACAGATTTAGAAACAATAGAATTAAAGTAGGATTTCAGTGTACTATTAGTACTTGCTAAAATACAGTCCATTTGAGATCCATTTTATTTTGTGAAATTGCTTACAACTCTTCAAAAACCAGGTAACGAACACCTGGCATTACAACTCGGAATTCTCCGAACTGACCCGACCCAATTTTCGAGTTAAATAATTTACACGACTAAAAATTGAACCCGATGTCTACTTATACCTAATTTACACAAAACAACATATTTTGTGAACCTTTATATGTCAAAAGAAAAAACATTATATCCTAAAAAAATCTCGACGAGATTGAAAGGCCTTTTTATCATAATTTTGTGAAGATCAAGGACTGGCTAGCCTGTCCAAACTACAAATTCAGCGAACCTATTCATAATATTTGTACACATTCACGATTGTGAGACAACATATTGTAAAAATAAAAGATACGAGTAACAAATAGTTATTAAAAATTTAATATACTCGTAATACTTGCTCGTAAATCTTTCATCACAATTTGAAATTTATTTATATTTATATTTTATACCCAATACTTTATTGATGAGAAGTTAAAAATATACTGTATATAGATAGATAGAGCATTTTTACTATAAAAAAAAAAAACTATAAGAAAAACCTAAATTTACAATTCTATTAATATATTAATATATATTTATAATAAATGTGAAAATAACTAACACTTATTATCACATAACCAGGAAAAATTCAAGCAGGACTAGTATGGGAGAAGACCTTATATTTATATTGATTTGAAAAGACATTCATATTTGTTCCATTAATTATATTAAGTTTATTTTTATAATAATATAAAGTATCTTTTAAAATGTAAGTTACTTCATATTAACAAAATTAAATGTAAAAAAAAAAATATTAAACTTCGCAACAGAACCTCTGTTATATTTTCATCTATATTTCACAAGTAAAGTAGAATCGTATCACAAAAAAATATATATGGTCGTCACACAAATGTCAGTGCCTATTTCTATGTACGTTCTCTGCAAAAAATATTCCTCCTAATAACGCGGGACCTCCCGGAGACCCTCATTTACAGCAGGCAGTTTACGATGCTCCCTTCGAAATCCCACACTTATTGCTTGAAACTAAACTAGTCTCGTACGTGTACTTTACGATCACTGCTCTAAGTGAACCCTGACTCCCCACTTTTGACTGACAATATACTCCCATATATGTGTATGGGATGTTAATTTATCTTCTCAATTTAAATAGGCTGTCTATTTACTGTTCTTCAAATTTTATAATAATTGATTTAGCCTTTGAGGCGCTAAGAAGTAGAAAGAGACAAACCAATTCACTTTCACATTAATAATATTACTAAGGATTTGTAAGGATATTCTGTGATTTGTAGGATCTTATTTAATCCCAAAACTATATTATTTAACGAACATATCATAAGGATAGTTAATGTTCATTATAATGCATGCATGCAATAAACCAAAGCATAGGCGCAAACATATAAGGGAACAATATTGGATATTTTTTTCAGAAAATTATTAAAACAGAATCGCCTAGGAAGGTAAGTAAAATTATTTACTATAAATATGAGTATATCACATAGCACCGTTTAGTCCCAATATAAGCAGAGTTTGTATCTTCTTCCTAAACAACATACATATATACCGATACAAACAAACATACCTACTCATGAATACAAAAGTTTTTATTCTGCGGGGAACCAATACGGTACACAAAATTTCTTATTTGTTTAAAAAATAATGAAGCTCCCATACAAATTTCACCCTTGATTTCAAGCCCTTAAGGGATGATTTTCCAGGAATACTTTACTTATTTAGTAGCTCTCAAATTCCTGATAAAAAATTACTACTCTTATTTGTATATATTAAAAGCCTGAATATGAATTTTGAAATTTCCAAGCCTACAATTGAGGATCTTTAACCCCTTAGGAATATACTTTCATGGATTGCACTCTTTGTGATATTGGTATTAACAAAAAGATAAAACGAAAGGAAAGCTACGATGGTAATGTGGGTTAATGTATGCAGATAGCTCAAGGGAGTTCTTTTTCCAATTGAGATATACTTTTATAGTATAAGATTACCTGCACTCCCTAAAAGTTATACATAATTATAATTTTTATTTATTAATAGATATTAATGATTAGAAATTGTAATGCTGGCTTCAGTTCTAAATAAATATCTAGACTAAATCTACCTACGCATCAATAAAAGCTACAAGAATTAACCTTCTCAATTGACTTAGAGTTGTCTATGCTATTGTAGGTGTCCTAAATTCTATGACCTAAATCTCAATACGTAATTACATCAATACGAACATAATAAGTATCATTACTAACCCTTTTTTAATGGTGTAGGTTCAACAACCTTCTTAGTCTTCTTATATTTCTTTATATTACAAGTTAGTTTTTCAATAGCTTTTAATATCTTCTTGCTGACTTTGGTTATTGTTCTTCGTTTCGGATCGCTATATTTTCTCGTTCGTTGTCCGCCGCTGACTGTCTTCTCGCGGCCTGAACCCTCACTATCGTCAGTTTCCGTTGCAGACGAGTCAGAGACTGGATGGAATATATACGGGCTACTTGCGAAACAGGGTGAGTTCATTTTGAAGTCACAAAAACCATATCCTTTTGAATAGAACTTATAACGATACGATCTAAGGTAGTTTAATTTCAATGCACAAACACGACTATTCACAATGAAGTCTTGAAGAACGTTGTCAGCGACGTACTGATTAAGAAACGGGAAGCTTTAACCAGATCGCCTGTAGACCGTAACGCCACTCCTAAGGGCAAGCCCGTGGGACCTTGGCTGTCTCATTACTCCAAGGCGAGTAATTGATGGACAGCTCGCTATACACAATGACTTGGGCACTTTTGTTGCGTAGTCATTAAACATGAATAAAGACTATTGAAACAACTGCCACTTATGTCATCGAAGATAATGGTTTTTATAAAGTTTATAACAATTATTACTTCTTAGCAGTACCTAAATACAATTGGTATACAACACAATAACATAATGAATAAAATATTAAATATTTATTTCTTCTTGTAAACTTTGTCATAATTCATCGTTTGTTGTCTAATTATTTCAATCATATTAAATTCCTACAAAGATAACAGTTTACGGAATAATGAAATAAAAATTTGGCACGAATTGTTTATTGTGAGTCTACGAAATAAAATAAAATTTTGAACAGTATTAAATTTTGTTACTTCTAAACTCTTACCTAGTATATAGTCTTGACAATTTTATATAATACTAACGCGCACATTTCCGTATGCGTAGATTTTGAAAACCAATGAAATAGATTACTACTAAATAGCGTATCAAGACGAAACATACACACAATTATTAGTTAAATCTTCAGAAACGCAACTTTGAACATTCTATCTATTTTGGTGCAGTACTTTTTAAGTGATGGCGGAACAAACATAGTAACAGACCAAATTTCAAAAAATACATATATTTGTCGATCGTATTAAGACCCATTATACTTATTTTTCTTAAATATCTCCCATGTACAGATATCATCTAGCAAGATTTTTATTATATTTAGTAAGGTTAGTAAGATAAGATTGTATTATAAAGCAGGATATAAAGCAGGACTCAACAAATATCTTGTGAAAAATATCCTGAAGTAACATGTACTATAAAAGTGCAGTTGATAAAAGAAGAGAATAAAAACTTGTTAACTTTTGGCACTCATTTCTCTTTACATGCTAACACCATAATGCATAAAACCCTCACTAATATAATATTATAAATCTGAAAGTTTGTTTGTCATAAAATTTGTGCATCCTTTGTCTGTCTATTTGTAAGAAAGACAAATGCTAATCCTAGTTAATCCTGTTTACGAATTCGGGGTTAAAGCTAGAATAAAAATAAATTAATAAATTGAATGCTATCCATTTGTTTTTGTGTAACATCACGTCTGTCAAATGACTTGCTAATAGGTAGTAAATTAAGTGGATTAATATTCTCTTTATTGTTTAAGATGTTTCTTTACATTAAATTAGATTTATAATCAATGAATTAATAATTTCAATTATTTTTTAATGTAGCTAAATTACTTGATTTTTAAAAAATGACACTTCTTTACCGCTTTATTTTAAACTTCTTAGTTCTACGTATATATCACAACGCAACTATACTAAATATCCAAATGGAAAAAAAAAAAAATAAAAGGAATAAAGAGTCGAAAAAGTAATTATGCCAGTGAAGATTATTTTCTGCTCCGACGCGGATAAAATAGATATCCTCAGAGGAGGTCAATTTCCGTTACATTTCTCTTCTTAAAAACTATTAAACACAATCAAGGCTGTTACAGATATAATTAGGTTAATCTCTGGTGTAGCATTACAGGGTAAACTGCTGGCATTTTGCTCAATTACTTTTATAGTAAATGCTCCATAGAATATATTACACATAAACAAAGGTATATATTATTGGGACGCGAAAGGTATAATATATTTGTAATATAATTCATTTTAATTATATTATATTGTGTATTTATTGTACATTAAATTTGACTTTTACAGCATATCATTAAAATGAGTATTTTAGAAGATACCAGAGATTTAATATATACAAACGTCCGTCCTGAGTGCTAGCGGCCGCACATTAGTGTCTACATTGCACTTGTGTAAAACCAGGGCGGGTCGCTAGTATTATAATATAAAATATTGTATGCAGGATAGTTATCACAAATTAGAATCAATACCTTTTACTATACATGAATAAAATATAATATTTAGTTCATATGTAAAAGTGGTGTTTTAAAACGCCTGTTATTTTTAAATAGCAAAATACTTAAACGCAATCAATTTTCTCTCTGCTCAATAATGAAAAAAAGGCGCTCCCATATCAACTTTTTTTTAATGTCTGAAATATACAAAATACAATTTTAAAATTATCTATCTCCGAATTGCCTACAAAATTAATATTTTCTTATGAATTAATATGTATCAATAGTTGTAAATATATTTCATGCAATGGTTAAACGAAAGAACTAAAAATCTGCATTCAGAAGAGTATGTACGAACCTCTCAACCACCCCAACGACTCTTTAAACAAGTCTGAAACACTCGCGTACCGACTTAGTCACTTCTTCCGACTTTAAAGTAAGTGAAGTTTCCGAGAGTTGCTGTAATGATGCAAGTCACTAAAACTTACTGAATTCTATCAACGAACGTCAGTTTTTTAATGAACACTGTTCTTTATCGATATTTTGATTAAAAAATAGATAGATACACCCTTTAGAAGTTTTTATATTAATTTAGATTAAGTAATTAACTTGACAGCGTGTACTTCATCTATTTAGTTTCAAGTTCTATCGACGATGAAACTAGGATCGCATACTTAAATTATTTTAGCTTTTCAACCGATTTCAAAAAGCAGAAAATGCAAAATTTTTAAGTATTTTTTTGGTAATAATTTCGATATTCTACTTGAACTTGATTACTTTCATAGTGTTTTTTTTTTGCAATAGATAAGGTATACATACTCTTGTATTAAAACTTATATCAGACCTACCTCTATTAAAGATAAAATTATACCAACTTCTGAATAAGTGAACATTTTATATTTTTATATATTTTTATTTTGTAAATAATTTTGGTACGTCTTTCCCATTCTTTATGTTATAACATTCGATTTACTATTTCTTATATTAAGACAGCAAGTTTAACAATTTATTTTATGAGTTACGCACGTGTGAAACGTGACGAAGTAAAATCTTTGATATAAATCAGCTTCGAATCGGCACTCTCCTCTTAACGACAACGACCCACTACCCACCCTTTCTGTTCCCAATTATACGTCTTCGCTGAAAATTACGAGTAATTATGTTCTACTTAGCGACTATAAATGAACCAATATAAGGGTGAAACTAATATTATACAATATTTATTTACCTATTTTTTTTATGATAAAGGGACAAACGAGCATGCGGCTTACCTGATGGTAAATGATTATCACCGTCCATAAACAACATCTGAGAAATTATATTGCAAATTGCAATGTTGCCTTTTAAAAAGGAATATGCACTTTCTTCTCGACGAAATAAGTTAAAACATTTTGTAACCATCTAAATGCCTTCAGCAGCAGAGAATATTATAAATTTATAATTTAAAAAATAATTCTAATCGACTAACCAGAAAATAAGGAGTGGGAAGTGCTCTTTAGTTATATTTTTTCAACATATTACTGTCATGATTTCCAAAAAAAGGAAACAGGTATATATAATATTAACAGTAATAGATACATTATATATATTATTAATATTTTTGTTCTTCTATTTATTTGCTTATCACGTTGCACCGTCATTATATTTTCTATTATTCCTGTATAAGATTAACTGGTAGATAATGTCATAATTCATAAGTCCACCATTTATACTATTTAGATAATGTATTAAAGTATAAAAAATACCTAAATAAATAAATGCAATTTTCAGCTATTTTAATTAAGAATTGAAACTTGGAATATATGCAACAACCTAGAATGCAACCATCTATTTTTACTGAAAAGCTAAATAAAATAAATTAAAAATAAAATAAACTCACCTGTTTGAGAACTGCTGTAAAAATCTTCAAATGTCGATGAATATGTACTGCAATTGCCATCGTCGTACTTCTTCTTGTCAAAGCTATTATAACAATTATTTTCTTGGCGTGACGTAGTTGGTAAATATTCATTTGTTTTGCTCTCTTTTTCTTTATTTAAAATATGCTGTAACTTAGATTCGTTTCTTTCATTATTCTCTGAAGAAATATGTTTACTATCGACAGTATCTTGACAATGATTGTTAGAACCATTGAGTATTATCTTTTTAATAGTTTTCACTTCTTCAGTTTCACTAATTTTGTGTTCCGTGATAGTATGTTTTTTGATTTCTTCTTTCTTTTGAAAGTTGGTCTCACTCTGAGAATTAGGCAAAGTGAATTCGTATTCACACTTTTTATTTTCTTTTCTTAAATATTTTTCAAATGGATCACTATTTCTTTTTGATTCAAAAGGATTAAACCCTTCGCCTTTCATAGGATTTGGAAGACTTTTATCATGATACTGATTTGTTGAACCATTGTTAAGAAAATCGTTTCTCTCATTATTCGTATATTGTACCTTACTTGAATCGTAACCATTTGTAAATTTTAGGTCATTAATATTTCCTTGCGGAAGACTACTAGGACCTGAATTATATTCAATATTAAAAACTGATGACGATTTCAAATCTGAATTGATGTCATTATATGAAGATAAATTTTCATCTACTTTACTCCTATCTACTCCGGAGAAATATGCTCTATTATTTGGTAATGGCAGTTTGGAAGCACTGGTATAATTAGAAGGTAATGTAGTATAAAAAGGATTAGTTGGATGGAATTTGAGTGGTTCTTCATTAGTTGTAACCGATTTTACTAAAGTTGTAGAAGTGAGAGCCGTCGGTATGGAATTAAGTGATGATCCTACTGTTGATGCTGGTCGGTTTTGTGTTACAATTGGTGGTCTTATTGTTGCATAGACAGGTGCTTGCGGAGTTGCTCTGCCACTTTGTATCTCTGTCATCAACTGAGATGGTCCTGAAACCAAGGTGTTATATATAAATATATGTATTTTTAATAATAGATTCATTTTAGGTAAACTTAATTTGTTTCTCTAGACATGACTTCATATTAAGCTAAAATATGAAAGATAATGTAACTTCTCAACATTTATAATAACAGCTTAACTTTTTCTTAAACTTTAGAAACAATATGACAGATTTGTTGGTTATGAGGATTAGAATATTTATGCTAAAGTTCAAATATATTTAATTTGCAATTGTGGCCAAGTATAATATTCGGGTACTATAGTATTTTTATACAAATATTTTTGTTAAACGACTAATCGTTACCTACTAATAGGTAAACATTTTTATAATATTGTTCCAGGGCTTATTCATTTTACTTACTTATAGATATAATGACATTTATAACTTGAAGATTTAATATTAAATGCTGTCTATAATTAAAATATCATAATTCTGTACAAAATTAAATAAAAAAAAATTAACTCCTCAATTATAACAAACGCAAAAAATAACTTGGTAACGTCATACTCAAACTAGCGAAATATATAATGTAGTCGGAAAATGTAAACAAGTTATGACATCAATCTACAAAACTACTTTAGATTTTGATAACAATTATATACATAACTAGTGATCCAACCCAGGTTTACACAGATAAATAGACTTTTCGAAAATAATATAATGTTACTCATTGATAATGTAGCTTTCTATAGGTGAAACATTTTTAAAATCGGTAGATTAGTTTTTAAGTTTATCCATTACAAAATATATTATATATTACATTATAAAGCAAATATTAAAAAACAAATGTTTCCTCTTTATAATATAATATACAAATACTTAAACATATTACGACTTCCATCTTGATGGTTTTAAGATGTCTTTACATATTATGTGTAGTGGCATAATTTTTACAATGTTCATATGGTTATTTGTTACCAAACTTACTTTTCAACTCGGTGCTCTTGCCAATTGATCTTCTTCGCGGTGACATCTCCCTGTCTCTGGTGACAACAAAACTTAGATTACTATTTAGAAACAAAAACTAATTTTTAAGATGTAAATACCATTTTAATTACAAACTCTCCAAAAATATATTCCAAAAACAAAATACATTGAGTTTAAAATAGAAATAAGAGTTACCGGAATTAATAAAAACATTAGAATTTAAAATTGGTCACATGGAACAACAGGCGAGAGAATGCAACATAGAAATATCCAACGTACCAGAACGGCGTAACGAAAATCTTTTGGCAATCACAACTAATCTTGGTGCCGCAATAAATCAAAAAATATTATCAAGTGACATCGTATCTATACATCGAGTGCCCCACGCCTCACGGGAGGATACCCGTCCCAAAAATATTATAGTGAAATTCACCACAAAAATTTTGCGTGATAATGTACTTGCTGCATGCCGTCTCAAAAAAGGACTCAACTCTGAACAGCTATCGGTGTCTGGTTCAGTACACAAAATCTATGTAAATGAACATTTAACAGTGAAAAATAAATTATTGTTTCGTGAATGTCGTCAAAAGGCAAAAATTCAAAACTATAAATACGTGTGGGTTAAAAATAGTGTTATTTTATTACGTAAGAGTGACAACTCACCTGTCTTGGCAATCCGTACGTTACATGATGTGGTCAAAATTAAATAATACCTTTGAATGTATCATTAATGCAGTCAATGGTGTTCGTTATATAAATTTAATATATAAACATAGTATAAATTATATTATCATTATGAAATCTTTTACCAGCTGCATTGTCATTTTTGCCAATTTTTATACTTACGCCTATTATAATTTAATGTGTGTATCAGGTACTCTAAAGTATATATATTATTCGAAAATAAATAATAGTAATATATATATAGATAGATATATACCTTTTTTTATCGTTTAAAGGAAAAATATGAATAATTGTTTGTCTATTTATTATCAAAATTGTCGAGGCTTAAGGACAAAATTGCACACGTTACACATGAATATTTTATTGCATAATTACGATATTATAATATTGACTGAAACCTGGCTACATGCTGACATTCTCGATAGTGAATTTATTGATAGCCGCTATTGTTTATACCGTTGTGATAGGGATCGAATATCAACGGGGCGAAAAGACGGCGGTGGGGTGCTCGTAGCTGTGCTGCGTGGGCTCGCCGTGCTACCCTGCTTACCGCTCCCGGTTGCCGTATGCCCATCGCCAGCACCTATTATTGACTTCGTGTTGCTGGAGATACGCTTATGCGGCGGTATTACTAGCCTACTGAGCGCTGTTTACATTCCACCAAATCAGCATGTAGATATATACTCCTCATACACAGAATACATTGAACATATAGTATATGAACGTAACATCCAAACATACTGCATAGTTGGTGATTACAATTCATCTACACTTGACTGGCATTCTAATGGACTACATCTACAACCAGTTCTTACAAGTAGATCTACTTTAATAGACAAAAAACTGGCATCCTTTAGTACTGAAATGAACTGTATTCAGTTGAACACTGTAAGAAATAAAAATAACAAATTATTAGACCTTGTTTTAACTAATATAGTAGACTGTAAATTGTTGCCTGCGCCAGTCTCTCTTATTCCGGTAGACGAATACCATCCACCTTTTTACTTTCTTGTCCCTGTCAACTTTAATTTAAAGTGTATACCTTCTAAAATTAAAACTTATTATTTCTTTAAAGGCGCTAATTATTCATTAATAAATGAAGAATTGTCTAAAGTAGATTGGGATGATTTATTTAAAGATAAATCGGCTGAATCTGCCGTTAATAGTTTTTATGAAGTTATTTATGGGTTAATAAAAAAACATGTTCCAGTTAAATTCACAAAATCGTCTCGCTTTCCGCCTTGGTTTACATCTTCTTTAATACATATTTTCAAAAATAAAAATCAGGCGTGGATTAGATGGAAGAAGTATGGAAATAGGTCAGACTATGAAATTTTTTCTTTATATAGAGAACGTTTTAAAAAGGAATCACAAAAATGTTATAGAGAGTATATTTGTAGGGTAGAAAGTAGTATTAAGGATAATATAAAATTTTTTTGGTCATTTGTTTCTAATCATAAAAATATTGATGACATTCCTAACTCGGTTTACTATAAAAATAAAGTAACTGATGAGCCACATGAAGTATGTAGCTTATTTTCAGATTTTTTTCATTCCGTCTTTGAACCTTCATCTGTTACAGAAGATTTTAATATGGACAATATTAATTTCGAATCTAATTATAGTAATGATACATTAATACACAATATAACATTTACATATGGACAGATTTCCAAAGAACTTAAATTGCTTGATGCATCGAAGGGTACTGGCACTGATAATATTCCAGCAATTTTTTTAAAATTTACTGCTAGTACTATATGCAAGCCCTTACATTATCTATTTAATAAATGTCTACACGAAGGTGTATGCCCAACTATTTGGAAGTCAGCACGTGTAGTGCCAATTCATAAGGGTGGTTGTAAAAGAAATATTGAAAATTATCGCCCAATTTCAATCTTGCCGGCTCTATCAAAACTTCTTGAGAGACTAGTTCATAATATTATCTATCCGATCATACATAATAATATTATTCCCCAGCAACATGGTTTTGTAGAACGTCGTTCTACAAGTACAAACTTACTATTATATACGAGTTATCTATTTGACACACTAGACAAAAACAAACAGACAGACAGTGTATATACAGATTTCCGGAAAGCTTTTGATACAATAGATCATAAACGTCTTTTAGAAAAAATTGCGTATAACGGTATACGAGGCAATCTTTGGCGATGGTTTAAATCATATATCATAAACAGAACCCAGAAAGTTATTATTAATGGTTACGAATCTAATAATGTATCTATAAGTTCAGGAGTGCCGCAAGGATCAATTCTAGGGCCCCTACTATTTATTATATTTATAAATGATATTTACACATGTTTTAATTTTTGTAAAATTTTATTATATGCAGACGATCTTAAAATTTATCATATAATCGACACTCCTAACGATCATATACTTTTTCAAGAAGATTTAAACCGTTTCACTGCATACTGTAAAATTAATAAATTAACTCTCAGTTTGCATAAATGCAAAACTATAACCTTCACAAGGAAACGAAATATTAGTAATTTTTCATATACATTATGCAATTGTGTCCTTGATAATGTACAAACAATTAAAGATTTAGGTCTTACATTGGATACTAGACTTGTGCTTGATACACATATTGATAATATTGTTGCTAAGGCATACAGAATGTATGGTTTTGTAATGAGATGTACGAATAACTTTAAGAAACCCACTACTTATTTATATTTATATAAAAACCTTATTCGATCTCAATTGGAATATGCTGTAACTATATGGAATCCTATTTATAAGTTTTACTGTGATAAAATTGAAATGGTACAGAAAAAATTTTTGCGACGTTTACAATATAAATTTTCTCATAACCGTCGTTCATATGACCAATTATTGTATAAATATAATTTGCAAGACTTAAAATCAAGGCGCATACAACTAGAGATTATGATTCTGTATGATATTATTCAGGGTAAATATGACTGTATTTCATTAACAAATCAGATAAATTATAAAGTTCCAGTGCGTGCACAAATGAGAAATTCACGAAGACAAGAATTGTTTGCAATTAACAGATACCGTACCAATTCCGGTATTCGTTCACCCATAAATAGAATTTTGAAATTATATAATGACAAATTTTATAATATTGATATATTTGCTACTAAACCATTAACTTTCAAAAAAATGGTAGCTAAACAATTAGTAACCTCCTCCCTCTCTCAGGAATTCAGTAATGCGTGCACATAATTAATAAATTATAAAATACATGTGTATAGTTAAATAATTTTTTTTTTTTTTGTTGGTTGTTTTGCATAATTTGTATGTAGATTTGTCAATTTAGATGTAGTTGTGTCAATGTTATTTATAATTTAACTTAATTAATAGATGTAATGGTCAGCTCCACTTCTCGGCAATATTTGCATGTTTATATACTTTCTTTCTTTATATAGCAATCTGTAGTTAACGTTGTTGGTAGTACTATTAATCACATTTAAATGTAATCTTATTATAATTATATATTGTATTACTGTTTGTTAACTTTAATAAAATAAAAAAAAAAAAAAAAAAAAAAAAAAAAAAAAATATTTGCTATGAATCTAGGACAGATTCCTAGAAAAGTTGTAAATTACTATATTACTAAAAATATGTATCCGTTAACACACGCATGAGAAAGAACAAGAAACCAGATGTCGTCTTGTTCATAGGCATAAAAGCGATCCTGTATATATCGACAGATTTCATTATCATTTACATATTTAGTTATCTAGCGATAGTGAGCGTATAATAATTTCTAGAGACCAGAAAGAGAGACTTTAAATAACAATATTTATTCAGACCTCTATCTGCACCTGTTGGTGACAGATCTCCATTTATACAAATTTACCTTTTTAGATTATATATTTTTCTATATGAAAAAAAAAACTAGCAAGTCTCTTATCATATTTAATTATAACCGCTGCCCTTTCCTCCTACGCACACTTAATATCACTTATTACTGATCAAAGTAAGTTTGACTAATATTTGCCATAAAATAGTTACATTAGCATAGCTGTGTTTCGATTTGTATAATTTTAAAACAAACATGAAAACAATTTTCTACATGAATTACGATTGGAATATTATACCACTATTGAAGCAATATATACTATGTAGACCTACCTCAATGTGTACAACAAGGGTTATTATTATCTAACCGGATGATAAGCGAGCATCAAAGCCTATGCATACATGCAATATCAGAACCATCACTCGCACATAATCGATCCTTATCGGCAATTGAGGTAGGTCCACTTAGTATATTATATATTACTTTAATCGTAAATCATGCAGAAAATTGTCGATTGAAAATATTTTGATACAATAATAGGAAGTCATAAAAATAGGCGATCTATTTTGGTACAAGCTACTATTATTTGTAATTACATCATGATGTAATCAAGAGACTATATTAATATGAGACCACATGATAAAGCTTAAGAAAATAAAATAACAAACAAACAGATCGCTGAATTCCTATTGAATCAGAAACTAGTCGGACAGCTCCAAATATAATATGTGAGTATAAAATTCGGAGACGTTCGGGAATATACGATTATTTGTATAATATAATTACAACACAAACTACTCTTCTGATGGAAAGTCAGTCCCACTATCCAGTGCTAAGCCTCAGCATGGACAATACAGATTAGGTTTCGAATTGCCTATCTAGATGAGTTCCACTAAACTATTACCTCTAGATTTTGACTGTAATAATAGGTTTTAAAATTAGTTATTGCTAAAGTCCATGTGTTTTTTAAAGGATAATATAAATAAATAATAATAATTGTGATTCCGGTATACTGTTGCAAGGGAAACCGCATATATAGATAAATATCCTATTTATTTACATACTACAAAATACGAGCATTGAATAGTTAAATAAAAAATACAACAATACAATTATTAAGCATATCATTGCAATATCATATTGTTACAAAAAGATTGTAAAAATACTTTAAAAACTTTTAACTTACTCTAAATCTAATTAAAAATTAAAATTTTCTAGCTTTTTTTT